CAAGCTCAGGCTCAAGCTCAGGCTCAAGCCCAGGCCCAGGCTCAAGCTCAGGCCCAGGCTCAAGCTCAAGCCCAAGCTCAAGCCCAGGCTCAAATGCAGCAGCAACAGCAGCTTCAAGCCCAGGTCCAGGCTCAGGTCCAAGCCCAGGTCCAAGCTCAAGGTCAAGCCCAGGTGCAGGCTCAGGGAGTGGCCGGTCAGATGCCCCCTCATTCGCAGCAGCAGCAAGTCATGGTGCCCCAGTCATTAGCACAAATGGCTCCCGGACAGCATCAACCCATCAGCTCACTCAGCCAACAACAGCAGCAACACCTGAAGCTCCAGCAGGTAATGCAGGTAAAGCTGCAAACTGCAAATAATGCAAAATTCATAACACTTTTTACACCTATTATTGACATTCGTCTTGGTTGATGTGATTGTAAATAGTCAGATGAAATGTATATTGCACCTGGCAGTTTCAGTGTCTCATATACCTTCCTGTTTGCTTGGGTTTATACAAGCAGGCAAGAGTATTACAGCAACAACAACAACAACAACAACAACAACAACAACAAAAACAGCAGCAGCAGCAGCAACAACAGCAACAACAGCAGGCTCCACAGGTCCAGCAGGCAGGCCAGCTCGCTGCAGTTCCTGGCCAGGTAAGCCCAGTGCACGCCGTGATGAGGACTGAGATGAGAGACTAAGCGTGGAGTGATTGCATGCTACCAAAATCAACACTTGACTTTCTTTTGAATGTCAAAACTCTATTCCTTGCCTGGTGGTGGGCCGTAGTGTACTGCACATGTCCTAATAATAACACAAGGATTATACATCTATTATTTTTGTCAATAGGTTTAATTGTTGGCCACAACAGTGAGCCTCGTTCTCTGGTCAGTATACATAAAATATAGGTCAGGCATCAAAACTATACATTGAAATCAGCTTTAAATTTTAAATTAGAATGTCTAGTGTTCAATTTTATTTTTTTTCTGAGTAAAAAATAATGACTATTGTATATTTACTACAATTTATATAAGACACCCACTAAAATGTAACAATAGTTCATATACCAAAAAAATTATTTGGAAAAAGAATCATTAGATGACATCAAAATTCTCTATTTAAGGATTACAGTGCAGCCCTCAAAAGCTAATGAATTGTATTTTTTACCAATTTTTTCCACTACCCTTCAAACCACTAGGTTTAACCCTAGGTTTTTTATCAAAGTTTTAATCATTTGAAAAAAAAAATAATTATATATATATATAATCACTTTTTCTTTTATTTATTTAATATGATTTCTATGTACAGTGGTGTGAAAAAGTGTTGGCCCCCTTCCTGATTTCTTATTTTTTTTGCGTGTTTGTCACACTTTAATGTTTCAGATCATCAAACCGATTTAAATATTAGTCAAAGATAACACAAGTGAACACAACATGCAGTTTTTAAATGAAGGTTTTTATTATTAAGGGAAAACAAAATCCAAAACTACATGGCCCTGTGTGAAAAATTGTTTGCCCCCTAAACCTAATAACTGGTTGGGCCGCCCTTAGCAGCAACAACTGCAATCAAGCGTTTGCGATAGCTTGCAATGAGTCTGTTACAGCGCTGTGGAGGAATTTTGGTCCACTCATCTATGCAGAATTGTTGTAATTCAGCCACATTGGAGGGTTTTCGAGCATGAACCGCCTTTTTAAGGTCATGCCACAGCATCTCAATAGGATTCAGGTCAGGACTTTGACTAGGCCACTCCAAAGTCTTCATTTTATTTTCTTCAGCCATTCAGAGGTGGACTTGCTGGTGTGTTTTGGATCATCGTCCTGCTGCAGAACCCAAGTTCGCTTCAGCTTGAGGTCACAAACAGATGGCCGGACATTCTCCTTCAGGATGTTTTGGTAAACGGCTGAATTCATGGTTCCATTTACCACAGCAAGTCTTCCAGGTCCTGAAGCAGCAAAACAGCCCCAGACCATCACACTACCACCACCATATTTTACTGTTGGTATGATGTTCTTTTTCTGAAATGCAGTGTTACTTTTACGCCAGACGTAATGGGACACACACCTTCCAAAAACTTTTATCTCATCAGTCCACAGAGTATTTTCCCAAAAGTCTGGGGGATCATCAAGATGTTTTCTGGCAAAACTGAGACGAGCCTTTATGTCGGAAAAACCTTCATTTAAAAACTGCATGTTGTGTTTACTTGTTATCTTTGACTAATATTTAAATTAGTTTGATGATCTGAAACATTAAAGTGTGACAAACATGCAAAAAAATAAGAATTCAGGAAGGGGGCCAACACTTTTTCACACCACTGTATATAAAATCAGTTTTGTAAATTAAATTTGATGTGGACATCAAAATGGGATGTCTCATTTTTGACCCACAATTGGTGGCTGACTAAATACTTTTTTGCCCCACTGTATTAGTTCTGTCAAACAATTAATCGTGATTAATGGCATCCAAAATAAAAGTTTTTGTTTAAATAATGCATGAGTGTGTACTGTTTAATGATTTGATGAATCGTGATTATATATATGTATATATATATATATGTATGTGGGTGGGTGGGTGTTTAAGGTTGGTACTGATTCTGATACAAAAAAATCTCACTGCTGAAAGCATAGTTAGTTCTACAGGTAATCTCATTGAATAAATGCCCAACACTTCTTGCTACAAATGCATTCTGGAGGCTATTTCTGCTATATTTGTTAGCACTTGCCATTAGCTGGTATATATAAAGTACATCCAGTTTTTAACCATATATAAGCTAAACTAGCTGCCTGTCTTACTTTCTCAAATACATTTAGTCAGATCTCTCCCTCAAGGGTGACCCTCCCATCTGTGAGCATTCGGCGGAAGATAACATTTTGCTTCATGTTGCTTTCCTTCACCTTGTCCCATATGTGTGGCCATAGTTTATATTAAATCTAGAGATGGAAATCTCTATTCTATTGCAGAGCTGTGAAATCCAGCAGAGCAGCCAGTTTAAGTTTGAGTAGCTTTAGTTTTTAATCTCATTTGCATTATGTGTGTATGTGCAGCTAACAGCCTGATTGCATGCTTACTATTTTGAACCCACAAGCACTTTCTGCATGCACCTGACAAAAAATGCATTCTTAAAAAAAAAAAATAACAAAAAAAAAATTAAAAATAAAAAAACACCTCGCTGTGTAAATGACAGTTTGCAGTGATTGCTGACATACTCCAATATTGTCCTTTGGGCCTTTAAATGATTCCTTGAATGTATTTGAAGGAAGATATCGATGGTTGCATAGCATCCATTGTTTGACCCCTCTGAAAGCCATTAGTAGATGGCAAGCTCAACCACAGCTTTAATTTACAGTTAAAAGTGTCGTGTTGGAGATGCAGAAGCACCCATTGCATCTTTTCTTGCCTTGCATGGTTGTGGTACATGAAAAGACGGCATGAAATCCATTGGCCTGTGACTTGCCTTGTCTTGACAACCAGTGTTGTTAAATATATTTGAGGTTCAATACAATTTAAGCTCAATTGGCATAATTTTTGGTTACCACAACCAGTTACAGTGAGCCTTATACTGCAAATGTAAATGAGGCCATTTTCTGGAGGATTTAAAAGCAAAAATGTGAAACCTATAATTTAGTAAAATCACTTAAATGTATTCTGTCTGTTATTTTAGCTGTAAAGTTATTCTTGTCATTTTAGGTGTTATGTTTAAGTGATTTTTTTTTCACACTCGTGTGAAATAATTAATATTTTGTATCTGGCTTTAGTATTGAAATGGATTGGCCCAATTCACTTCTGTTGTAAGTGCACCCCAGATTTTTTATTTTTTTTTTAAAGATGAGAAGGACAAGTCAAAAATTAATTTTTGTAAGTAGTAATCATCATGTCACAAGTGCTGTCAATTGAGCTGAAGTTGTATTGATGAACCTGCTCTAGAACAGTGTTTCCCAACCGAGCAGGGGTGCCGTGTAAAAAAATCGCTAATTATAATGGTAATTAAATAATGTTTACGTATGTATAAAAGCCTACATTAAAATCTGTCATATAAATTGGTCTCTTCAATAGAAATTAGCCTACTGATTGCCACCATTGATGGACACATTTTTTTAATAATATTAAAAATATCTGTATGACATTATATTCTGCAGTTCTTCCCTGTTGTACCGAATATCTATACTTTTCAAATGATCATATCGAAGTTAGAAATTCAAATATTGTGACAATTAATTTTGTAGGGCGCCACAAGTTTAAAATTTCCAAAGGGTGCCGCGACTAAAAAAAGGTTGGGAAACACTGCTCTAGAAAAATGAGAGGAAGCTCACTATACTACCAAATTGTTTTGTTTTTGGAGAGCCTCGTGTTTCGTAGTTGAATGTGACTGTATGTGCATCTGTGCTTGCAGACCTGTCAAATCTATTTCTGTTTGCATTCTTGCATGTGCTTCCTCATGTCCGCTGATGCACTGCATTTATTGTTTTGCTTGTGACATGTCTGTTGTCCCCTCTGTCCTCCTCAAAGATGATGCCCCATCCTGGGATGCAAATTCCACCTCGGTTGCCCCGCGCCACCCCGAACTCTGCCATTCCTCAAAACCCTGTTGCCATTGGAGGACAGCAAATGCCACAGGTATTTACCGCAGGGCTAAGTGCTGGGTCTCAGCGCTGCAACCCAGTGGGTGCGTACGTCTGTGGCTTTACACTAGAGCGAAGGCTGTCCATAATTCACACTCATCTGCCTCTCTTTACCCCCACTCCCATCCCCAACTAGTTTCACAATCAGAAACATTTAGTCAGAAATGACCCAGAAGTACTTAGGGCAGCTTAAAATTGAAATGAAAAGTGTGTGGCACAGGTAAGTGGACTGGATTTTGCTATTCTCTTAAAGTGCTAGGAAGCTAATTGGAAGCAACCATCTACTGGTTATATAGCGCCATCTACTGGTGCTGTACAGTCAGAGCAAGCCGATCTTGACCCGGATGTCTGTTATCTCTAGGTAACTGGCTTCACCAGTGCAGTGCCAGCTTTCCTCCAGTCATGTGGTTACTTTGAATGCATTTTCATTTTTTCTCTCTCCTAACTTCTTCACAAAGGGTCAACAAATGATGTCATCACCCTCCTCAGTTCAGGTGCAGACGCCCCAGCCGATGCCACCTCCCCCCCAGCCTCAGCCATCCCCCCAGCCTCCTTCCTCTCAGCCCAACTCTGTCAGGTATAGTAAAATAGCTTAGTTTTTCTACTATGTATTGACATAACTACAAAAGGTTAATTAAAACTTTTTCGCTCTAGCTCTGGTCCAACCCCTTCTCCTGGAGGTTTCCAACCCAGCCCCTCTCCTCAGCCATCCCAGAGTCCTGCATCTTCACGCACCCCCCAGAGTTACCCCCTCCAGGTACCTTCACCAGGACCTCTCAATACACCAGGTACAGAACAGCTTTCTTGTTATACTCATAGAATAGTTTTTTAAGCTATGTATAAATTAGTTAATAGGGCTGGGCGATATAGCTAAAAAATGTATCAACGATATAATATTTCTTATCGTTCGGTATCGATAATTATTGACATTTTTATAGCCTTTTTTAAAACAAAGAGCAATAGAAATTTTTTTTTACATTTAACCACTGCATTTTTAAATCAACTCAATTTATTGAGACAAACAACAAATATTTTTTAGTTTTAACAGTCAAACACAAAAT